GAAAGGAGAGAAAGAGAGAGAAGGAGAAGGAGAGAGAGAGGGGAGGAGAGAGGGAGAGGGAGAGAGAGAGAAGGAGAGGGGAGAGAGAGAGAGGGAGGGAGAGAGGGAGAGGAGAGAGAGAGAGTAGAGAGAGAGAGAGAGAGAGAGAGAGAGAGAGAGAGAGAGAGAGAGAGAGAGAGAGAGAGAGAGGGAGAGAGAGAGGAGAGAGAGAGAGAGAGAGAGAGAGAGAGAGGAGAGAGAGAGAGAGAGAGAGAGAGAGAGAGAGAGAGAGAGAGAGAGAGAGAGAGAGAGAGAGAGAGAGAGAGAGAGAGAGAGAGAGAGAGAGAGAGAAGAGAGAGAGAGACGAGAGAGAGAGAGAAGAAGAGTGGATAAACAAATGTGCGTTTATGTTTGCTTGTCTGTTTGTTTCATCGTTCGTTTGTCTGTCTGTCTGTCTGTCTGTCTGTCTGTCTGTCTGTCTGTCTGTCTGTCTGTCTGTCTGTCTGTCTGTCTGTCTGCCTGCTTGCCTGCCTGTCTGTTTATGTGCGTGTGCGTGCATGCGTATGTGTATACGTGTGGGTGTTCAGGAGTGCCGCATATGTAATTCCAGCAGACCTGCCACGAAGGGTGCATAATCCTACAATGAAAAAACATCCTCCCTCCCCCAGGGGCGCCGAACATTCTTCAAAACGACTAAAACGCCCAAACAAAACACGCACAAGCAAACGAACATCCACCGCCCGAGCGCGCACGCCACCGGGCGCAGGTGCGAGCACAGAGAGGCGCCCCATTCAACTCCCGAAACGAATATAGACGTTTACGAAGTCGTGACCGGCGGCGAGGAGCAAATGACGGATAATTGAGGCAAATTTAGCGCGACGTCTCCTACGCACCCGGGCTGTCAACGCTACACGCTATATCTGGAGGGAAAGGAAGAAGGAAGGAGGAGGGAAGGTTGGAGAAGACAAAAAAAAGAGAGAAGAAAGAAAACATGAAGGAAAAGAATTAAAATTAAAACAAAGATGAAATAAACGAACATGGGAATAGAAGGCCAAAACAACAATAACACGAAAGGAGAGAGAGAGAGAGAAGATGAGAGAGAGAGAGAGAGAGAGAGAGAGAGAGAGAGAGAGAGAGAGAGAGAGAGAAGAAGAGAGAGAGAAGAGAGAGAGAGAGAGAGAGAGACGAGAGAAGAGAGAGGAAAGAGAGAGAGGGGAAAGAGAGAGAGAGAAAGAGAGGGAGAGAGAGAGAGAGAGACAGAGAGAGAGAGAGAGAGAGAGAGAGAGAGAAGAGAGAGAGAGAGAGAAGAGAGAGACGAGAGAAGACGAGAAGACGAGAGAGAGGAGAGGAGAGAGAGCAGGAAGAAGAAGGGGGAGGGAGAAAGAGAGAGAGAGAAATTAAAAACAAGAATCATCATAAGTATTGTTGTATTAAATGATGTGAAATAATAACATAACTAATCCTGTTATTCAATACAGGCATTGTTAATGACAACAATACCAACGGAAAATTTGAAAGGAAAACAGTTAGATATAAATCGCCCAAAGTAGAGATAAAACATGTCTGCATCTTTGCTAAAGAATCTTTTAAAAAGTATACATATTTATAACTGCATAGTCATAATCATGAAAGAGAAGCTAAATATATACAAATAATCTGACCCATCAAACATAGTTCACTTTGATAAACATATTTTTCTGTTGCTATTACTATCTCTCTTGTCGATATTTATTGATTCCTAGCAAGTGGAGAGAGAGAGAGAGAGAGAGAGAGAAGAGAAGAGAGAGAGAGAGAGAGAGAGAGAGAGAGAGAGAGAGAGAGAGAGAGAGAGAGAGAGAGAGAGAGAGAGAAGAAGAGAGAGAGAGAGAAAGAAGAAGAGAAAGAAAGAACAAGAAGAGAAGAAAGAGAAAGAAAGGAAAGAAAGAAGAAAGAAAGAAATAGAAAATAGAGAAAGAAAGAAAGAAAGAAACAGAAAAAGAGAGAAAGACAAAGAAAGAAATAGAGAAATAGAGAAAGAGTTTGAACCAGAGAGAGGCAGAGACAACCAGAAAATGAACCAAAGAGAACGAAAACGAACGAATAAGAGCCACAGAGAGCCAAAGAGAAAATAAACAAAGAAAATTCCTCCGTATGCACTGGACATCCATTAAATAAAGCAAAAGAAGTCCCCCCTAAAAAAGAAAGAAAGAAAGAAAGAAAAAAACACTTAAGGCCCACCGACAGAGGTTTCCAGTGACCCCAATCTGCGCCACACATATATGGAGGAGTGTGGGGAAAGAGGGGTAGGGGAGGGAGAGAGGGGAAGGGTGATGGCGGTGAATAGCCAATTAATCATGATCAAGGTTACCTCATTATAGCGAAGGAGAGAGAGTTATTTTGAGCCTTCCCTTCTTGTGGCTGACTTAAAGCTGGCGTATTTTGTGACGGGTTTGAGCTTTCAGGTTACCCTTTTCCTTTAATATCTTTCTAATGATTTAAAGCAAGCTAACTTTCGTTTCTTTGTTTGTTTGCTTGTTGTCCTCCTTTCTTTTTCTTTCTTTCTTTCTTTCTTTCTTTTTTTCTCTCCCTCCATCTCTGCCTGCCTGCCTGCCTGCCTGCCTACCTGCCTACCTACCTACCTACCTACCTACCTACCTACCTACCTACCTACCTACCTACCTGCCTACCTGCCTGCCTGCCTGCCTGCCTGCCTGCCTGCCTGCCTGCCTGCCTGCCTGCCTGCCTGCCTGCCTGCCTGCCTGCCTGCCCGCCTGCCTGCCTGCCTGCCTGCCTGCCTGCCTGCCTGCCTGCCCCCCTGCTGCCTCTCCCTCTCCCCTCTCTCCCCCTCTCCTCTCCTTCTCTCTCTCTATCTCTCTCTATATCTATCTATTCTGAAAATCTCTCCTGAATTCTTCTCCATCCCCTCCCTCTCCCTATCCCCTTTACACTTCTTCCTCTCTCTCCTTCCCTCTCCCTTCCTTTCCCTCCCCCTCCCCCTCCCCCTTTCCCTCACCCCCTCCCATCCCACCCTCTTCCTCTTACCCCCCCCCCCGGTCACCAGCTCTTCCTCCCCCACCCCACTCCTCTCCCTTCCCCCCTCCCCTTCCTCACCCTCTCCTCCCCTTCCTCACCCTCTCCACCCCCTTCCCCCCTTCCTGGTCCTCCTCCCCAAAGACCCCCATTACCGCCTGACACTGTGACAAGGCCCGTTCAAGAAGCGACAGATGGCCCTTATCAGGTCCCCCACTCCTTCAGGTATTAATAAAGACGTGGAAATTATATTTACCCGGCCAATGCAACGAGGACGCCGTCGAACCACCTCTCACCATAGCTGTCTTTTTAGGTAGCAGGGAATTGCAGTCATCATCATCATTATCGTCATCTCATCATCATGATTGTCATCGTTATTATCATCGTCATCGCCATTATCGTCATCATTATTATCCCCACCATAATTGTCATCATCATCAATATCGCCATCATTATCTTTATTGTCATCACCACAATCATTATCGTCATTATCATCATTATTATCCCCATCATTATCGTCATCATCATCAGTATCGCCATCATCATCATAATCACAATCATTATCATCATCGTCTTTATCATCCTCATTATAATCCCTATCACTATCGTCATCATCCTCATTATCGCCATAATCATCATCATCATCATCACAATTATTATCGTCATTACCATCATCCTCATTATCGTCAATAATAATGTCATCATCATTGCCATCCTCATCGCGTTATTTTGCTCTCATTTTAAAGTTATCTTGATTGTTTCTCCGCATTACCTCACCTTACTCCCTTCCTTTCGCCTTTTCCCCTCATTACCCCTTTCTCTTTTCCCGCTTTCACCTTTCTCTCCGGTCCTGTCACTCATTTCCCTCTCCTTTCACTCCCTTTCCCCTTATTTATCTCACCCTTTTTCACTTCTCTCACCCTCGCTTCCCCTCTTCGCTTCTACCTCCTCACCTCTTTTCCCGGACACTCGTCTCCCCATTCCTGCCTTCGCCCTGTTCCTCACAGCTTGTTCTTTCCCTTACAATCGCCCCCCCCCCCCACCTTCCACGGCCGCACCAGCTGTTCTGTCTTGCTCTCCTCACCACCAGCTGGCAAAGGGCTCTTCTTGATTCCCTGCTTTTACTTCTTATCTCCTAGCACCCTTCCTCTTAACACAGCTCTTCCCTACTTCTTCCTTCCATTCTTATTCCGCTTAAAGTCTATCTTTTACCCCTTGATATCTCTTTTTTCGCATACATGCACGTGTAAACACACAAACTTTCAGAAGCATACACGCACGTACACACTCGCCGACAAAATTATGTGTGCACATGTACATGAAAACCTAAAAATACGCAGACCAAGTTATATAATCTCACACGATTTCAAATTCGTCCCGCAGCGCCATAATCAGCGCAGTCTTCCTAAAATGAGCCCCGCAATCACACTTCCCAGACCTCACAAACGCACGTCTCCGCCCCACATTCCTTCCCCTTATATCGCCGTATGACAAGTGGGCCGACGGGGCGTGCCAGAGCGCCGACCCGTGTTGCGAGGGAAACAGGGGGTCTCGCTGCTGCGACTCCGAAGGCACCGGCGGCCAGGCGAGAGCTATTCCGGGCACATGATAATAATGCCCTTTTCACACAGGTAACACGCCATTCTTTGCCTGTTAGATTCTTTCGTTCATATTCAAGTTGATTCATCGGCTTCGGTTATTGTAAATCCTGTTGATATTGGGCTTCATCAGGTGTATCGGACTGTATCATTCGCTTGCAAGTGAAAAAATATATATCTTTTAGAAGATTCATTTTCCCCCTCACTGACATCCTCGCTGATCAAACAGACTACTGAAATTAGCATTTAGCGGAAGCAATCTTAAGATATTAAACTACGTACTAAACAAAATACTATTTTAATTTAGTTAGCCCCTCCCTTCAGTTTTGTCACAGAAAACGAGACCCTAAAGCACAACACAGAAAACGTTCACGTCCCGACGAAGAGGGGGAGACAACAAGAAATATTTCTTAC